CAAACCCTTCTCCTCCACTCTCCTCTCGGGATCTTGGGCACACATGCATATGCACCCGGCATGAGTTTAAGCCACAGGGTCTGGGACTCAAACTGCAGTTGACTACATGGGAGTCCAGCAACATAGCCATTACGCTAACTGCTGGCCCCTCTACCCTGTCAAGATTTTGAATACGCATGCACATGTGCCCAGCATGTCCTTCAAGCCGCTGGGGCCAGGAGGCAAACTGTGTGGTCAACCATGCAGGATCTGGGTTCCTTAATCACCAGGCCACAGGGTTAGGCTTCTTCAGTTCTTCAGGAATAGAATAAATGGCTGGTATCCTCAAAAGTTCTTAAACTTCAAGGAACTTATGCTGAGAAGTAAAGTTTAAAGTTTTAAATCTTTTCATTTTATTTTCCATGAATTTTTTTGAAGTCCTGCTATACTGTATTAACTAACCCGAGCTATATTTTCACAGTGCTATTCAAAGTTACTTATAACAACCAGAAAACACAGTTACATACCAGGTATCTTGAATCCAAAAAATATACAACTTTTTACATAATAATGAATCTTTGAAATTAGAATATATCATAAAACTAATGGTATCATACAATAATTAGCAGCATTTTTTTTTTCTTGAAAGCACAAAAAATGTGGTCCAGTTGTGGTGACAGAGGCAGTAGGGGCACTGTTGTACAATACTAGAAGCCATATAAGAACACTCCTGGTTCAAATCCCAGGTCTACCTGAATACACTTATGACATTGGCTGACTCCAGGGCTGGGTGAAGGATGGTGGTGTAAAGATCCTGTCAAGGGTACTTATGTTATCTCTCCTCCACCCCTTTGTTTCTCTTTTAAAAAATAATTATGTATTTAATTTTATTTACCATTATCATTATATTTTTGCTATAGGGCTCATGCAGTCACCAGAGACAGAGAGAGAGAGGGAAGCTGAGAAAATAAGCTGCCAGGTCTGGGACTCAAACCCTAGTTGGCCATGTGGGAATCTAGCACCTTAACCATCACACCACCTGCTCGCCCATCCCTTTCTTTCTTTCTTTCTTCCTTCCTTCCTTCCTTTCTTTGAGAGATTTTTGCTATAGGACACAAACACCAGAGAGACAGAGAGTGATAAATACTCCACCCCCAGTTGGAGGGGATGGCCAGGTAGCAATCCCTTCTCCTCCATTCTCCTCTCAGGGTCTTGGGCATGCACATACAATCACCCGGCATGAGTTTTAAGCTGCTGGGTCTGGGACTTGAACCACAGTTGACTATATGGGAGTCCAGCGACATAACCATTACAGTATCTGGTGGTCTTGGCCCATCCTTTTCTAATGAAGGGAAAAAATTAATTTAAAAATAAAAAACAATGTGGGCTGGCCCTGTTGCCCAGTGGTTAAGGGAGCCTGACCCTACTTGATCAACTATAGTCTGAATCTTGGTCCGATGGCTTAAAAAAAACATGCTGGGCACATATACATACATGTCTAAAATCTCAACAAGAAATGAAGAAGTCTTGCAGCATAACCATACCTTACTGGAGGGTGCTTTTTCTCTTTCTCTCTCTGGCAAGTGCACATGCTCTCTTGCAATTATTATTATTTTTTCTAAATATAGAACCGGCCTTGTAGCATGGTGGTTAAGGGCTCTGCATTTGGAGATGGATCTCACGTGGCCAACCATGGTTCAAATCCTGGCCCCAGTGGTTTGAAAAACATGCCGGGCATAAGTGAATGCATGCATGAAGAAACGCAGGAAAAGACTGCAGTATGATCATGCCCCACTGGGGGTTGCTTTCTCTCTTTCTCTTTCACTGGCAAATGCATGTACCCTCCAGTAATAAAAAGAAAACATGTTTGATGTGTCTTAACAACAACAATGTTATATATTTTTTAGATCCATGTTTATGTTTAATTACATTTACATGTAATCAGATATTATTTTATTAACTAAAGAAAACTGTGCTTTAGAAAATTCTAGGGCCCTAACCAAATGATGAGAATAGTTAAGTTATACATATTCATACTATGCAACCCTTTACTTATCATCCCAACAATATTGTGTGCTGCACTGGTCATTAAGTTATCACTTCTGAGCTTTAAATCCACACTTAATTATATTTTTCAATGCCAGAGAGTGTATGTGCTCAAGAGAGGAGGTGTGAAGCGGGGGAGAGAGAAGAAAGAGAAAAAAAGCACCCCAAGTGACCCTTAGTCATATTGCAACCCTTTTTTAATTGCTAGAAGGCACGTGCATTCACCAGGGACACAAAAAGACAGAAGGTGGGGGGTAGGAGGGGTGAAGGGTGAGGAGAGACAGACAAAAAACAGGGAGTATACCCCAATAGGGCATGGTTAAACTGCAATCATTTCTCTGTTCTGTTGGGATTTGGGGCATGTGGGCAGATACACCTGATGTGTTTTTCAAGCTGCTAGGGGCAGGATTTGAACC